CCCGGAACAGCATGTCCCGGGCAATAGCAATTGCACACCCCTGGTAAATCTGTTTTATAGAGCTGCAGCTAACGATTATTTTCAAAATCGATTAGTTAGCCGATTATTAAGTTCGATTAATCGGTTAATCGGATAAACAATAAAATAAATTTTAAAAAATTACATCTCCCGCGTCCCTGTGCCGATCGTGAATGTGGGCGGGTGGTGAGTGTGAGGCAGGAAGGAGGTGTGGCGTGTAGAGCGTGGATTCGGCGGGTCTGGCAGCGGTGAGCGTGAGTTGGGGAGGAGGTGCGGCGCGCAGCGTGTGGAGCCGTGAACAGGGCCAACTGATCGGAAGCCGATTAATCGATTATTGAAAAAGTTGACAACTTTTTCAATAGTCGATTATGTCGATTTAGTTGTTGCAGCCCTACTGTTTTATGTAGTCTGCAGATTCATGCTTCCTACTGATTGGAGGGCTCTGTCTCTGACTGTTAGGGAACATTATTTTCCAATCTGGCTTTAGAAAGAAAACCAGTTATAAGACATTGACCACACTTTGTTTTCATGCACCTAGAATGTATTTAAAGTGAAAATTCAATTGGGCTTTAAGCAAATACCTCCATGAGCTGGGATCTTCTCCCCTTCCCTGATTCTGAGTTTCATTTACATTCTGCACATATTTCTGTACTGTAGTTTCTTGACACATGGTCACATGCTGTGGCATGGCAGGCAGATTTTCTGTCCATTTCACACAGTGCGCAAGCTTTGTATATTTTAATACGGTGTTTAAACACACATACGTTATGTTATTAACATACCTAGGCTAAAAATCCACAGCTGTGCTCGCGTAATTGGGATGACTGGAAGAGAATTACCCTATATACTTTATCTTCACCCGTAAAGGTTCTCTTTACTTTGGCAACTGCCCCCCTTCCCAAGTTTCATTCTCCAGCGGGGAAAACATCAGTCACCAGGAAACATACAGAGTGCAGTAGTGCAGCTGCATGGCCTCTTATATGAATGGGTGCTTTTACGTTTTTCCACCAATTAGCGAACTTTGATATCTCGGCTGAGTCTTTGCCAGCACCAGTGACCCAGGCATGGTACTCTGGGGAATGGACTTTTAAATTACAGCCAAAAATCTGGTGAACAGTGCCTCACTGTATAGGCCATCTCTGACTGAACTTACACAGTTCAACTATTGTGCCCCATTTACACTCTTTGCCTCTCAATGTCCATTTTTGTGACATCACAAGAAAAGCGGGATCATTACAAAACATATTTTTTTTTGCTTTTATTTTGTAAAAATCCCTTTTTTTAAGGGGCCAGGTGAAAAAGAATATAATGTAGGTTTTCACCTTTTGAAGTATATCTGAGGCGAGTGGAAATCACTCATCCTCATAGTTCAAGCCGACGTGTGACAGTGAAACTGTCGCACGTCGGCTCAATAGATCGGGAAGTGAGCAAACGCATTTACTTCTCGATCGTCTCCCTGCAGTGAGTGGTGACCGTCCCCTGCAGGGATTCCTCCCCTCTCCTCCCCTCTAAGATCACCCCCTGTAAGTAAGAGATTGGAGGAAAATTTGTAATGACTTTTGAAACTTCTCTGTTCATGGTTTCTCACAGACCAGCAAGGTATCATTTGTTGTCTATCCCAACAATTTATTTATTTTTTTTACTACTGTGAAGAACATTTTATGGTTTCAGGACAACATTTAGCAGTCCCTTGTATAAAGTCCCTTGTATAAAAACAAATTTAGCATTCCCTTAACAATTTGCTTAAAACAGACCTTGAATTAAAGCCCCCTCTGGCCCCCAATCTCATATTGCTGCATTTATGTTTAAAAAACGTGTTTAGAAAAAAATATATACTTAATTTACTCCCCGGCTTCTGTCCATGATGGCAAGGTGAGTCTGACATCCTGATCCCCCTGGAAATATCTTTGGAACATTGAGAATCCCAAACTCTTAGGCTTTGCTGGAACATTTTCTCATTAGATTTAGCATAAGCAGCATTCTCAGTAATCCACAAAAAGGATCATGACGTCATCCTTGCATAGCCACCATGGGCAGAAGCTAATGGTAAGGAGAGTATATTTTCTTACATTTTTGGCACCGGTTGCCGCACCCCGCCCCCCCCCCCCCCCTTTCTTTAATGAAGTGATTTTGAGATGGGGCTGGAAGACTGATAAAATAAATGGATCTTGATATTTAGTGCAAGGTCCACTTTAACATTTCTTAACTGATAGTTTAGGTATTTTTTTATTTTTTGTAAATGTATTTTTTAGTATTTTCTTTTATTTTGTATGAATTTTTATACTAAGTTATAAAACAAATTTCATAATAAAATAAATAGTGGATGTCATAAATGATAGGTTTTTATCTTTATCTAAATGTTGGGTGCTAGTAGCATTTCTCTCCTTCTAGGTTTTGTATTTACAAAAAGCCAAATAAAGTATGTGATGCTATTCTTGTGACTTGGAGGAGTTGAGTCAGTGCAGACTGGATGCAGAAGCCATAATTCCCATATTACCTCTGAAGAATATCTACATCCAAGCCAAGTCTCGTCTGCTAATCTGGGCCTAAGTGTCCAAGCAGATTCTTGGATTCTGCACAGAATACCGTCTTTTTTTTTTTTTGGTCCTGGGGAATGAAGCCAAGCGACTTACCATCAAATACTTGTTTTTGTTGTATAATTGATTGGTGATGGCTAGAAAAAAAAAAGAATCTTTCAGATTAAAAATAGAATTGTCTCTAGATTCCACAGGCTTGGTATATAGATGCGGCATTTTTAAACATTTCAGGATTGAAGGCTGGACAGTTTTGTAGCAAAGTAACTTTCTAAAAAAGTTTTTTGGAAAAAAATAGACCCACTTTGTCGTTTTGTGTATATATACATTATTATTTGTTGCCTTGTAGAGATTGGACACGTCATGATGTAGAACTGTCTCTCACTACTGGATCGCCGTCCTTAGAGCTTATTCTAAGGGCAGACCACATATCACAGAATAGGACAGCAGAGTAATGAGCCATCCAGACTCCCTCTCTTACCCTGAGGTTGCCCTCTTTTTAAGGGAAGTTTGAAAAAAAAAAAAATGCTACCTCGCACACACTCCCTCCCCTACCCCCCCAAAAAAGTAGCAAAAAGCATAGGAAGTGTTAGGCCTACAGAACACTTTCCCCTTTTCTCTTCTCTAGTCTATAGAGGTGAACTGAGCAGGACTGCTTACACTGAAAAGCACACAACAGGTTATGAGCTCACAAGATTTCTGGCAGGATCAGCAAGTATTTTTCTGCACTTTTTGAAAAGACATAACATTCTTTTATTGATATATTTAACAGACCAAAAGAGCGCACTTATGAGACGTTTATTGCCATAGTTTTCATACACCTATTTCAAAATAAATACTGATCCTGTGTACCTTTTTAATGAACGATAAAGGAAACAGGATTTCTGTGCTTGCCGTAAAATCCGTTACTTGGAGTTCATTAAGGGACACAGGGCTCACCCCTCTGTGTTTTGTGATCTACCCCTAAATACTGCTTTTCTACTAAACTGAAGCATGCTGGGAGTAAGAGGGATTATAACTGGTAGTCAATGGCTTTCATCCTGTAGGCGGCAGTATAACCCAATCAAATCGTTGAATTTTTACATGCATTCACTCATTCTTTTCAATTCCGTTTAGGTACGTTGTGGTTTACTCTTTCTTCTGACTCCAGTTGTAAAAGGAACTTATTCCTTCCGGAGACCTCTGCCCAGCCTGAATGGCACAGGGGCAATCGCTGCATACAGTTTGCATCATCATCAGATTGCAGAACTCTCCAAACACTTGTCATCCATGAATTTTATTTATTGCATGCAGAAGGTTCATCAGATGCGGTAGATGGTAGTATTTGAAAGTCAAATTTCTCGTGTTTGATGGACACAGCTTCTGTATACGTTACAATTGAGTGTTAAGGCTGCGGCCTATGTCTAACTTTTTCCTGCTGGGATTTAGTTCCATGCTTTTTTTTCCCCCCATTCTTTTTATCCTACCACCCCAAATCCTCCCAGGTGTTCCAACAGGCAAACTTAGGAGACACAACCTGTATAGAGAAGCTGCGCCCATCAATTCAGAGAAAAGACCTTACAATGAGGAAGAAGGAAATTGCATCATAGGTCAATCGTGCCTCCAGGGATAGTGATCTTTTCCTAACGACATGCAATCATATCACATAAAATTACATGCAGTGTACCGGCGTTCTGCTGCTTTCAAATGCAGCCGATGTCACCCAATCATAAAATTGACTGGGTGACTGCTGCCGCTTGTAAACGGCATATTAAGGATTCCTGATGCAGGAAATTGCAAGTTCCTGACGCAGGTATCCCTAATCGCACCTAAAGTCTAGCTTTGAGGGCTAACTTCTGGTGGCAGCATAGTTCTCTGGTTTTTATACAGCTGAGTGCTTTAGAATACCTGTAAAATGAGATTTACAGATGGGAAATGTACTATAGAAAATTGTAGTGCATAATTCTTTATGCACGTTTGATATAATTTTCCTGTATGTTAAAACAGTGTAACATACAAGGATGTGAATAGATTGTAGTGGTACTTATTTAACAGTGTGTTGGTGCGGGCATGCATCGTATGTCTGAGAAACATTTTGGGAGCCATAATCCCTCTTAATCAGGGTCTATCTATTTGCTGAATTTTTATTATAACTTTGTTATTGAACTGTGAATTTCCATGGCTGCCGCTAGTTATTGAACTGGTTTTCTGTGCACTATTTATAAGCAGTTGAAAGCAGGGCTGCAACAACTAATTGATTATGGGAATAGTTGGCAACTATTCTCGAGAGGGAGAGAGGGGTCGAGAGTTTTTAATGCAACCAAACGATTAGTTGAAAAAATAATCGGGCAACTAATCGATTATGAAAATCATAGTTTGCTGCAGCCCTAGTTGAAAGATTTTTTGAATGAAAGTTTATTTACTGCAAGCCAGTTTTAGCATGCTTAGTCTTTCTGCTTTGTCCAACAGATGATAGCGTTTCTGCAGCAAGCACCTCTGACGTGCAGGACCGTCTATCTGCCTTGGAGCTGAGAGTCCAGCAGCAGGAAGATGAAATCACTGTGCTTAAAGCTGCCTTGGCTGATGTGCTCAGACGTCTGGCTGTTTCTGAGGATCATGTGGCAACTGTTAGAAAAGCCCCTTCAAGTAAAGGTAATTAGATATTTTTTTACTGGTGTGTGCGCCATTGTTGGCCGGTAAGAAAGCTAAAGAAACTTTATTGATTTACACAAGACTTTGGAAGTTATTATTCGATGGCTGATATGCAGAGCCTCAGGCTCAGAATTTGCTGTTCCCAGAGTATGAGTTCATGACCAAATGGAGGATTTTGCGTAGCCCTATTGTACTCCTAAAACACTAGGATGCAGTAATTTAAAGAAACTATTATTAGAATACCTCTATCCTAACAATCATGTCTAGTTAAAAAAAATTTTGTACTATACTTCCTATTACCACCTATGTTTTAAAAGTCTTAACTCTCTGTCAGAATTACACTTCCAGGTGCGTTGGATGACTGCATCACCCTGCAGTGCTTCCACTTACCAGCCACTACAACTCTAATGTGTCCCTGCTGCAGTGGATAGAAACCAGTAGTGATCTAGTGGCTAGGAAATGGGGGAGCAGCAGCAAGCAAAGTGGAGACGTAGGCACCTAATATATCGGGAAATATTAGATGATGAATATCGTAGCAGTGAAAGTAAAGATTCGATTCAACAGGGGTGGTAATGGGAAGTATCATATATTTTTAACGAGAGGCTGTTTTTCCGGTTGTTAGCCTTACTATATATTCCATAGTAAGTTTTGTGACTGCTCAGGATAGTGCCTTCTAATTCCAAAGGACCTATTCGCTGAAGTTTCTTTTTTGTTGACCTCTAACCTCCCCTCTAACCTTTGTGTAGACACAGAGGACAGATGAACACAGAACTCTAATTCAAAATTTGATTTGACAGCATAAATGGCAAAGAAATATCCCCAGCTACTGAACTCTTTCATTACTTTCTTATGACCAAACTACAACCCCAATTCCAAAAAAGTTGGGACGCCGTGTGAAATCTACATATAATCAGAATGCAATGATTTGCAAATCTCATAAACCCGTATTTTATTCACTCTAGAAAACATTTTGTCAAATGTTTTTAAACTGAGAAAATGTACCATTCTAAGAAAAAATAAGGTAATGACAGCGACACGTCTCACTGTTAACCGCGTCCCAAACTTTTTTGGAGTTGGGGTTGTAAATTTCCTTGGTGGGTTAGACAAGTAAGAGTAAGAATAAAAGTATAGCAAAAATACTTGATTGTTGGAGAATATTCTGATCTAGGCTGTGTCCACTCTAATTTACATGACAAAAAATGCTAGGTATATGACCATGTGATTGCAGTTCAGATTGGCTGATTTTCTTCTTCAAAAATAAAAAGTATTACATAAAAAAATATAGCTGAGCTGCAGATTTGTTTTTCACTCAATGGCATTATTAAACATTTTTTTCATTTAACCCCCTCATGACGGCAATGTTTAAAGTATGTTACTGTCACTAAGTGTGACACTTGATGACAGTGACATTGTATGCCAGGTGACCACTTTTAGCTGTTGGAGAAAAAAATAAAAAGTTAACTTTTAGTTTTAGGCTGAGAAGTACAGATAATTTTCTATAGTCCTAGGGATGTGAGTTGTTTCCAATTAAAGGACAAATAAACGAATTAATTTTTATTGTTTATTTCTAGCTGTGCTATTTTTCCAAAGATTAATAATAATAATCAAAACTGGGGGAAAGGTTTTTTTACATTTTTTTTCCCTAATTTTTTAAAATATTTTATTCATCCTAAGTGAGGCGTTAGGCACGCATATGTGATTTATAGATATATAGCCCTATCTGTCCTCTAAAAAACAATATATAATGTGTGGGTGCACTTAGTAAGAAAGTATATTACTGCCGTGGAAGAGTCACACAGCAAAAATGGAAAAAGTGCGTCGGCCATTAACGAACAAACTTAAAAAAAAAAAGAGGGGTAAATTTACATTGCTGAAATCCCATAATTGATTCTTTTTGGGAGTTATTTAAATAACTGCACGGTTCTGTCCGTTGATGTTGCTGTACACAATCTGGAGCTGGGAGATGGTTGTGTGTTATTAGAAGTTGACAGGGCAGCAACTATCAGACTTCAGTTGTGTCACAAGTCTGACTCTAATGTCCATACTTCTTCTTTTCAGGCAAAATAATTAGAGACAGCTGAGGGGACAAATAATCCTTACTAAATAAATTTGCCAGTGCAGTTATAAAAATGTTGCACATACGTGCTCATGAAACCTCTTGTATTATATACTTATAATCAGAAAAATATATTTTAGATTTAGAGAGATGTAAGAAGCTGACTGAGCCCCTCTACCCCAAGTATTGGTCAAATGGGTTTTGGGCCTTAAAAAAGAAAATGGCAGGAGGATTTGTGATCCCTGAATTTTACAGCTACTAGTATTAAAAGCAGCCCTTCAACATCTGTTTTCTTTCTTTTAGATTTTACAAATAGCCCAAAAACATTCTTTAGCTGGTATCATAGAATTAAATCTCACTTAAATAACAGCGATCATCGTATACATTTCCTGCATGGACTTATGTTTGCTCAGTCTAAGTTTTTCCTCTTCCTCAGTGGCTTTATTCCCTTTGGACTACAAATGTCTGGATGGGAAATAGTAACTGTACAGTCACACATTTTCAAAAGACATATTTCAGTAAAGGATGTCACTCTGACTCAAAAATAACCACCATTAAACCATTAGTGAAAAGCAGAGACACAATATCGCTTCCTCATGGCTGCCTAACGCCAGGAAACGGAGCGACTTGTTTTATGTTTGCCAGTGTGCCTAGCTGTGAGGTTGTGGAAGGACAACACAGAATGCTGTGGACGTAGACCACGCTACAGATCATCTGTATATATTTATATTTTCTTGAACAAAATAAAATTATATATAAGGGAATTTTAAAAACTCTCATGAAAGGAAAACGTTTGAGATGAAAATGATTTTACATTTCAACGCCATAAAGGAAGTCAGGCTAGGCCTCGGAGCATACACCCTCAAGTACATGCCCAAATACTCGGCATCGGCACCGATACTGGTATCGGTGCATCCCTACCTAGAATGCTTTGCTTTCTCCCTCCGTCTGCTACATCATTACAGCCAGCAAGAGACAGGCATATAGCAATTTACTGCTGTCTGTGTCCCTGGTAGAATGCAAGGATTCACACACCTCCCCAGATCTGGCAGCATGATGGGAAGTGAGGGAAATATCAGTGGAGACAGTCAATATAAAAGCCCTGATAGAGTTTTCAGCCTTCCCTTTATTCTATTGTGTTGCCTCTAATTCTGCTTTAATGCAAACCTTATCTAAGTGCTGTGACAATATATCTTTTGATCCTGAAATGAAAGGATCCTTTTAATATAGTAGTTAAATCTATTAGGCGTGAAATATGTGTTTACTACTTTGGTTTCTGACAGTTTTGGCTCTCCTCCTGGTCACCAAACAACGGGTCTTGTTTTGGCATTCATTTTCACATCTGGCATTTGGGCCCAGCCAAAAAGATAAAGCAGACATTTCTCAGACTGTTTACATTTGTAATTGTCAGTCAATGTGACACTTGCAGGTTTACACAGTTTACCTGTTGGAAGAAAAGCTGTCATTTCAGGTGATCTGTCTCGCGTCTGAAAATCATTGCGTCCTCTAAACCACACACATCTTCCATTCACACTCCAATTTTTTTTTTTTTTTTTTTCTGCTGCTGCACAAAGGTGTGTTTGTAGAGACTGTCGTAACAGATCAGACTGCTTACAAATGTGCTCGGGGTGAGAAGCTATTTAATGATTTAACTATCCACAGCACAGCTTAATTCCAGACTGGCTGAAGCAGAATGGTGGGTTCAGGTAAAGAGCCTCAAAGTTAATCAAAGTTGGTTGTAATATTCAGTAATATTATTTAGGCTAAATCTGATGTATTTTTAAGCGTATCTAGAGCCACGTGTTTTATTTAGCCTTGGATTAGAAGGGGGAAGGGTGAAAATAAGTTGAAATAAATAAATTTGGTTTGTCACTGCAATTGGAATAGAGGGAAAATCTTTAAAGGTGGACACTGTTTTTGAGTGATAACTAAAAGGACATTTCCTGTACTCTAGAGAAATTTGTCTCACTTCTGGTGTCTCTAGACATATAGGAAAATCTACCCCATAGGAACCCAAAAAAACAAACCATTCCCTGCTTGATTCCAAAGTTTTTTTGCCTTTTAGATATACTTAAGTTTCCTCATCCCTAAGAGTGCAAGCCTATGTACTTATAAAGGAAAGAAGGTGGTAAAGAGAAAATAGAACTGCACTACTAATATCTAGGAATATTTATTTTATTACAAAAACTCATAAAGATGTGTCATGCTCAATGTCAGAATGTAGTAATGTACAGTACATAATCTCCCTAACTAAAAGACCCAGGGCTCTTGGGTTCATTCACACGGATCTGTCTTTGTGCCTTGGCATTGCACCAGACTGGAGCAAAAATCATCAATGTAGTGTTTTGTTTTCTGATAAAGTGCACCCATACATTGTGGTGAGCTGCAATATATGTGCATCGGAAAATGAATGGCACTGCAATTTATTAATACACATAGCAACCTCACAATGCACTACACTGGAAATCCGTTGGCACATGTAAGTATAACTAACAACGGACGACCGAAATCAAGGCAGAATAATAACAATAAAAATAGTAAATGGGCTCTCATATGTTCATAAATATACCATCTACTAAAAACCATAATTGCCATATATACCCCAGTGGTCACTACTGTGAAGCTAAGCTGTAGGTACACCAACTTTCATTTCAAGCTGAACTCCAGGATAAGCAAATATTGTCTTAACACAAGAGTCATGTGTATTCTTACTTGAATATTGGTGTCATTTGTGTATTTCCCCCAGATCTGTGCAATAATCTAGTGTAACATTTTACCTTTGTACAGGAGCTTGTTAAAATAAAGAATGGTCACTGCTGCAATCTCTCGTTGTGCAGGGTGACTGGTCTCGTCTCTGCCCCCCTTTTTGTAGTTTTTTTGCTGGCAGCCTGTAGTGAGTGGTCCTGCTGGGCCCCTCCCACAGCTCAACTTTGTTCCCATTTAAGGTCAGTTCACACCAAGCCCGTGCACTACTTTTTCCAATTTCACCGCAACGCGTGGTATTGTGGTACTTTGCATTGTGACGCAATCAATTGCATTGCGGGTGGGAGGTGCATTTGGGGTGCCATTCAATGCATTCACACTAGGTAGGTTAGTTGCACTGTACTGTATGTTAACCGCACAGGCTTGGTGTAAACAGGCCCTTAAAGGCCAGTCCAGGTAACCAGTTTTTAGTTTTTGGTAGATGCTTAAAAAGTTAAACCACCGGACAATTTTTTTATACAGTAAACTCCCAGTTATTGGATCGGTAGGTGTCAAATAACTGTAGTTTCTAGTTGCTTGAGAGTAAATAGTAACTCTCAAGCAAGCCCCCCCCACCCCCCCGCTAGTTTCTGCAGCCAGCAGGTGTGTGTGTGTGTGGGTGTGTGTGTGTGTAAGCTGCAGGGAGCAATAGCCAGACTGCTATTGGCCATTTCAAATTGCAGTAGCCATTAGTAAGCGGACTTGAAACCCCACCTACTGAGCAGGGGAGCGGACCTTGGAGCAAAACTTCTCGGGTTCGCTCCTCTGCAGAGTGGGCCAGTGCAATAGCCAGCCTGCTATTGGCTATTGCAATTTGAAATAACCGATGGCAGGCTGGCTTTTGATCCCCTGCCCACTTAGCAGAGGAAAACTCTCTCTCAGGTCTGCTCCTCTGCTCAGTGGGCGGGTACAATAGCCAGCCTGCTATTGGCTATTGCAATTTGAAATAGCAGGCTGGCTGTTGCCCCCCATTGTTTATATTCTGCTACTGACCCCGAAATCTAGCTGCCGGCTGGCAGCAAAATGTAAATGAAGAATGTTGTTGGCAATTAAATGTAGTTGTTAACCACATTTTTTAGCGTGCAACAAGCAACTGACAATTGTTAAGTGTGCATCAAGCCACCGGAAAAATAAAAAAGTGTTTATACTACAGGGACTGACTTAGCCCACAAGGCTCCAGACCACAACTTTTATAAATGCTTTTCTTATAATGCTGTGTGACAAGTAACATTACTTAACCATTCAGTGCATCTTCCGGAAAAGTAGGTAAGTGTGAACATAGCATAATAGAAAATAGTTGTACGTGTTGCGTAACTGACTATAAATTTAAAGGCTTGTTCTACTCCAGTACTGTAAGGATGCTGTTCATTTATTGCTGACTTGATCCGTTCACATTCTCCTATTAAATCCAAATGTTCAACTCTGTTGTTAGCGTGCTTGGCAAAATCTTTATTAGCTGATTTAATCCGACTCCAAAAGGATTTTATGTTTTGATGACAGGTTTGAAATAAAATATAAATGTCACTTAGAATAAGAGAAAAAAGCCTTACTATAATTTAGTGGTAGAAGAAAGTTATAAATACTCGCTTCTCATTGTAAAAGCATGCATGACAGCAGGTAAAATCATTAAAGAGGCTTCCCTCGTTCATAGAGCAGGTTTGTTCCCCCCTCCACTCTAAACCACAGACAGTCAGCTGTTTTTTTTTTTTTACACAATTTTTATTTTCAAAAAGATAATACAATAAAACAGAAAACATATTGCAACAAGTCAAAAAGCATAGTATAGTCATAGTAAACCGAAAATGTGGTGATAAATACATGAAACAGTCTTAACTAGTAATGAACAAACAAGTAGGACCGTTAGCTACAAAGAACATATAGAGGAAATTACTATAAACCGTCAATAGATGAAACCAGCCAGTCAGCTGTTTAAGGTGAACAAGCTATAGAAGTGATTCTCTTCCATTTATTGAAAAACAGAGTGTAGATACTGACCACTGGGTCATAGTGCCACCTGTAGGAATAGTGTAAAATCCATTAACCCATCACCCTCAGAAACCGCCTTTCCAAGGAGATAAGGGTGGGTGCTGCGGTAGTCAATGGCTGGCAACTGTGGTGAATAACTAGTAGAATATACAGAGACACCGGCACTTCAATAGTGAATCAAATACGTCTGTTTATTGACGTATGAGTAGCATCGTGTGATACACTTAATGCAACGTTTCGGGGTCACACATGAGGGGGATCCTATGTGGCCCCAAAACGTTGCATTAAGTGTATTGCATGATACTACTCGTACGTCAATAAACAGACGTATTTGATTCACTTTTGACGTGCCGGTGTCTCTGTATATTCTACCTGTAGTAAAAGGACACTACGTACAAACCCAAAAAACAGCCTAGGGGTGGCCTACTCTCTTTCTGCTAACATAGCCTTAGTTTTTTGCCTAGCATCAAGTAGGTAGCACCTAAAAAAAATAAGCTCAGGTTTACTAAAACACCAAATGATGAATTACACAAATTTTGAACCTTTTTTTATTTTTTGTTCAGGTCCACAGGCACTACGTGAAGCCCTTTCTATGTCTTGTATTACCAATGGAGGAGCTGGAACCAGAAAACCAACCCATACTGGATCTGTTGCTAGAAAAGATACATTGGCATCCTATGCTAAAAGGTATTTACCATTCGTAAATACAAAGGAAAGGTTTACTTGAAGCTACAAAACAGAAGCTGTAAAATGTTAAAATGTTTGTCTGGTCCAAAAAAAATATATTTATTCATCACATTGCTCTTATGCACATTTCGCCATGTTTTGTCTTTTAAAAATGCCTCAAGTGCAGACATATCTATTGACCCTGCAAGAAATCCAGTGAAGAAATGTTATGCTCCCGATATGAAATTTTAAATCCTGGGAATCAAAACTGGCCAAGTTGAAGAACCCTAAGCAAGGGTTAATAGTCATGAGTCCAATTCTGTTATAACAACTAGTAGTATAGTATTATTGACCTACAGGTAGTGGGTGCTGTAAATTTTCACACAGCATATGCAGCATTACATGCGGTGTGGAGCGTACGGAGTGCCACCTCCTTCTTAGAAGCTCCTGATGTATGGTGTGTTCTATCATTCAGTCACATAGGGCATCTTACATTTTATATGCACTGTGCCACCGGCTGCTGTTGCCCTTCTTATGTGCTTTTTAAAATTAAAGTGACATTTAAACTAAGTAGGTAAATCTGAAAATGCATTCAGGTACCCTAACTATTATCAAAAATGTATCTTATTTGTGCATCACCGTTTGTGTGTTGTAAAGTAGCCACTGCTCCAAACTTGCGCCCGTGATAGACTATATAACTTCAATACAATTTGTTAAACTAAACATGAGATTGTAGTCCATCACACGAGTGAGCTTGGAACGGGATGATGGGGAGGGGGGGGGGCTGCCTGAGCTCGCAGCAAATGTATCTGCATATCGTTCATAGAGAAGTCAAAGATATATATGATGTACAGAAAAAAAAAATAGAGGCAACGTTGAATATACTCTTTTTTTTAGGCTACATGCACCTGAGCCTCTAAGTGACACTAAACTCAGGAGTTAAATCCTAAAAATGCATTTAAGTTGCCTGTGATGTACAATCCCAATACCAATTAGTAAACTAAACGGGAGATTATAGTCCATCATGGGAGCGAGCTTAGAGTCGTGACTACTTTACAACACACACGGCGACCATGGGGAACAAAAGTAGCCACCCTCCAGAATGAAGGACAGTGTCAGCACCAATTCAGACATAATTTGAGAATCCACAGCCGAGTGATACACAAATAAGATACATTTTTGTTAATCGTTAAGGTACTTGAATGCATTTTTAAGATTTAACTCCTGGGTTGGGTGGCCCGTTTACACCAGATGTGTTGGATTGCGCTGGTACAAAATGAGACAGTTTGCCTTGTTTTGGGTTAAGTCGGTTCACACCACTGCGTTGTGGTGATGTACGTTGCAAAAAAAGTATAATCTGCAGTACTTCTTTTTTTTTTTTTACTGCAGCGTATTGTGATGCACTACACTGCATTACAACATGCTAAACTGCCGTAATATTCTTTGCCAGTTTCTCAACCTCCTAAAGGTAGCAGTATAACCCAACCTATAGGTGTTTCAAGCCCTTTCACACAGGCCGGGTGTAGACCTCCTGAACCAGTTTGTCACCAGAACCAGGGATCCCCGAAACCTTCGCACTAGATTCCTTGTTGACTCTATGTGATCAGTTGAGCTTGATCTATGCCTTTTCACTTCTGAAACTCTTGCCTCTCCTCCTTCACTGTATTGAGATGGAAAGTTTTATAGTGATCCTCATTGTTGCCAACTGGTCCAGGAGACCATGGTGTGCGGACATAGTCAAACTCCTGACACTCTTTTTAGGCATTTCCTTTTTCTCCAGACTAACAGACTCTTTGTGGGGATTTCTGGGTCCTCCCAGATTTTCTGTCTCAAGGGCTGGTATTTCACCCTGTTCTTTGGTCACTGGCTGTAGCAGCCTGGCTATCGTAAAGGACATGGGCATTTTGAGCACTCTCATCCCTAGGAAAGTGAACCTCCTTCAAGGCCTACCGTTGTACCTGGAAGACATTTTGGCTTCATGTGAAGCGAGGTTTTCTTTCCAGGAAGTACTCTATGCGTCGCATCTTATCTTTCCTCCAGTCTGAAGCAGACCAGTGTTTGGCCTTTTACTGTCCAGGTCAAAATTTCTGCCTTGCCAACTTTTTTCCAGAGGTTGCTTGCCTTCCACTCTCTAATGAAGCTTTGTGTGTCTTTGTGGGACCTAAACCTAGTCCTGTTGGCACAATAGAAGCTTTTGTACCTCTCTGAGACATCCGTTTGGTCTTACTCTCTTGCAAGGTGTCCTTCCTTAGAGCCATCACTTCTGCCAGGCTTGTTTCTCAATGGACGGCCTAAACACCCTAAAGAAAGTTCTCTTCACTGTTTGGATGTGGTTCATGCCATCATATTAACCTTTCTACTACTGCTTCGATCTGCAAGTCTGACTCCCTCTTTGTCATTCCTGAGGCTTCCTGTATGGGGCAGCCGGCTTCTTGTTCCACTGTTAGGTGGATTTGTTGAACTATCTTTAAGGCCTATGAGTTAAAGGGGTAAAGTTCCCCCCTTTCCAGTAGAGGCTCCCTTTACTAGGAGTGGTAGTGCTTCTTGAGGTTTCCAGCATCAAGCTTCTGTTTCCCCAAATCCTCAAGGCTGACCTGGTCCTCTGTTCACCCTATTGCCAAGTTTTACCAGGTGGCCATTCAGGTCACTCTTGTGACTTATGTACACCCTCCTGTTATAGTTCCCTGTTGGTTTTTTTCCCCCTCACAGGCATGTTAGTCTTTTGCTGTATTGTCTGCCCTTTTGTTGAACTGCTTTTGGATGTCCCAAGAATTGACTCCCTGTGTCCGGTGATGTATGTTTAAGAAAACAGGATTATTGTCATACCTGTGAAATCCATTACTTGGAGTACATCACAGGACACATGAACCTCCCCTCTGTTCTCTATGATTCGCCAATATCCTGTTTAGTGCAAAACTGTGCAAGAGTGGGAGCGGATATACAGGGCTTAGCTTTGGTTGCCAGTTTCCTGTCACCTGAAATTAGCTGCATAACCCATTGGTTCAAGAATTAACGTTCTGTGATGTATTTGAAGGATTGGATTTTACAGGTAAGACAAAAATCCGGTTTTATTTGTTAATTTCACAAGCCATTCTGTTCATTTCATTTTTTCTTTATAGTTTTCCTGTTTTGTTATTTTTACTCCTATTTCATTGTCGATTTTTTGTTTATGTTGTTCTTATTTATTTTTACAGTAGCACAGAGAAAAAGAGGGAAAAAACCCAAGGCGTCAAAGAGGAATCAAATACAAATGATCAGAGCCCACTAAATCAGGCATCTCCTTCTCCCCTACCTTCCCCACAGACCAGCCAAACACACAGGCAAAATCAGGAAAGCAGAAATACTGCATCAACCAAAAGGTTTATATCGTACTGACAAGGGTACAAGCAGCAAGAGTTGTAATGACAGTCTGTGTTGTTTACTGCATTGCTAGACTGGAGAGGGTCTTAGTGTCAAGTAGCACTTTAACAGAGACCTCCTACTGTCTGTTCAAGAACAAAAGTGTCTCTGCATTGCCTATACAGCGACTCTACAGTGCCTGGCTGCAATGGCTACTGCAACATCAGACAAAAATGTTGCAATTGTTGCTCATCTGTAGGACGGCTATAAAGATGGCTATATGCATTGCCGGTACAATCCATCATTTTGACAAAAGAAAAGGGACATTGTTTAGTGCCACATTTTTAGACATACCCTTGCCACCCTTTCAGTTGCATTACCCATGTATGTTTATATGCTGTGTGTGTGTGTGTGTGTGTGTGTGTGTGTGTGTAGACTGAATATACATACATACATACATACATACATACATACATACATACATACATACATACATACATACATACATGCATACATACATTCAGGGATATTAGATTATGGGGGCATGGATGTAGGCAGTTCAGAGTTTTCTGTAAAGAACTAAGAAAAGTGTAAGCACTGTGTATATGAGTAAGGTAAATCTTTATTTTACCAACAATAATCCAGCATTGTTTCCAAAGTCTGTCCTCAAGTTTGACTAACAGTGGATGTTTTAAACAAGGAGATGTAACAAGTGTCTCAGCATTGTGACTGAATTACCTGAGCAGATCATAATGCGTAAACTGCTCTTGGGCATGAGGCCCAGTTTAGCAAACACTGCTTCAGAAACTAGACCGATCCAGCCCTGGGACTGTTGCCCAGTCTGTGGCCATTTGGTTATTGTGCTGGACCCAACAGAAAGTAGTCAGTGTTTCCCTGCCCTAGATTTTTACTTGGACCTTATTGAAAAATAATTTAGAACGCTAGGATGAGAACTGTTCCTTGACTATGGCTCTATATTTTGTGACATATGGAAAGTTACAACGATAAAGTGCTTCCTGTAGCACCATATGTGTAATGCTGCCTGATTCTAAAGTACCTGTACCACCAATGCTGCATTACTGTATTATGGTACCTACTTTACCAGAAGCACGGCTCATGCCAGTAAGGAAAAACTATTGGACTGGCATCTGCTAGATGCATTTTATTTATTTCACATGTGTGTTGTCCATTCCCTTTCCTTTGTTTGTGTTTATTCATATGGTTTTTTTATAGGAGGAAATTTGTGGTATAGAGTATCAGATGTGTTTAACAGTAATTTTCAAGAGGGCTAGAGAGTAGGTCACAAATGTTGGAATGTTGAGTTGTAAAGGGGCAGTTTTCTCCAGCATTCTCTGATCATCTCCTCTAGCATGTCCTCAGCCTTGGACCATGTCCTCCACCTTGGACCATCTCCTGTAGCATGTCCTCAGTCTCTGTCCATCTCCTGTAGTGTAGCTTCATTCTCCTACAGCATGTTCTTGGCTTCGGACCATCTTCCGCAGCATGTCTTCAGTCTCTTAATAGTCTTCGGTAGCATTGCATACATTGTATATTTTGTGCAGCCCTTTGCTAATGTTAGGAGCTACACTTGAGGTCCCTTATATCTAGAAGGTTGGCGCCACTGTTATAGACCATAATTTACTGCCTGCAAATTAGCTTCAGACAGTCCTGCTAACATATTGTATACACACTACAGCACAGTTTTGGATGGTTGTGGATTATCCTAGCAGTGTATTTTTTTAAAACCCACACACATTGGGAGAACAAACAATTACATTAAAATAGTCTCTCTGGTGGGATTTGAATTTAGGATTTAGTAAACATTGTGCTGATCATATCATATTGTTATAGGTAGACTTTGTGTGCAGTAAAAATCACATGGCACAAATATATTTAGAAAAGAGTTTACTTTTCATAAATATGAAAAATCTAATTCCTGACAACCAGTCTTAATTTTTCAAGAATGTCTCCTTGAAATATTTTAAAAACCACAGTTGAAGTTTGCCTCTGCTTTTTTTTTTTTTTTTTAAGGCAAATTGGTATTGTATTCTTTACAATAAATAAAACTGGCTATTAAGAGCCTCTTAGCTAGAGTAGCACACTGAGACTCCTCACAATAACTCTCAAGTGCACTTACAACCATGTGTTCCTCGGCTAAGAATGCCCTGTTCGAGCTTGTCAGGAACAGCCAACTCAAGCCATAATTGTTTCTGTTGCACACAAAGGGCATAATAAAATGCTGGCAGAGTGTCGCGTTCCGGTTGTGAGGAGGAATCCGGAACGTTTAGATTGTTTCATGGTTTAAAAGTGGAGCTATGAACAGATTTGCAGTATAACCCGGAAAGCCATAGAAAGCAAGATTTATCTTCACAAACACTAGCAGGAATAAACCAGTTTGCTACACTGATTTTAGTCATGTTTATTGGTGTTTTACAGAACTTTAAGCTACGGTTGATATACCAATAAAATGTTTCCTGCTATATTAATGGAAAGGTATTGTACAAACTGGCTTTCTTTTAGAATACTTGGTCCCATTATAAGAGAGAACTGTATTTAAAGCAAGTGTCCATTTTGAGTGGCTGTCTAAAAAGAAATAGTTGCCCTTGAGTAATGTTGTGAAGTATTGCAATGATGTTCAAGTAGATCCCATCGCACTCCTGACTAGATATAACCCAAGATAATGGGTGGGTGCTGAGATGACAGCAGATGCCTCTGCAGATCAGTATCACGTAGTAGAAAAGTCACTCACACTCCAATGCGAATTTCAGTCAATGTTCTTTATTGACAAAAGAATTGTCACATTGTATAGTATCTTTTCGGAACCGTATAGGTCCCTTCTTCAGACAAAGTGCCGGAAGAAGGGACCTATACGGTTCTGAAACGTTGCTATACAATGTGACAATTTGTCAATAAAGAACAGTGACTGAAATTCGCATTGGCGTGCGAGTAACCTTTCTATTGCAATGTATTCTATTGTGTACTCGCCCAATAAAGATGTTTCAGAGAATTAAAAAGAATATTTAATGGTACACTTTTACTTCCTGCAGCATATTTAATGTTTTTATATACATATTTGTAAATGGTCCCTTCATCTGGCAAAACAATAAGCTGAAGCCTTTGGTTTCGAAATGTTGTAAATGCTTGTGACACCATTTTTATCTGAACGTCAATAAAAGACGGTTCGGTAAAGTGGACCTTGGCGTGCTGGTGACCTTATTACATCTCCTGTTTACATGACGACATCCGCTGGCCATTTCAGCACCCATGAAGCTACGTACAGCGATACGTCTGTTTTGGATTGTGATGGGACATCTCTAATTAACATGGTACACTTCTGGACTATTTGAAAGTTTTGGGACAAAAGACAAGTACTATGAAATGGTTATTTTTTTAAACACAGGACTTGAATCATTACAACTCTTGCCAGACACAGCAGTGTCTTAATGCTTTTGTATCCTCAGTTTTTTAAATTTACTGTTTCTAAGCTTTGCTTGGGTGTCAACAATTACCCCGCTCTTGTGATTTCCCTGTTTATACTAATTTGCTCCAAAATTCCCACCATTGCAACCACTTTACTGCTAAACACCTTAAAATGTTCTCGCTCTGGCTGGTAAAAATAGCTGACAGATTCAGCTGAAATAAGGACTTACAAACAGGCATGCTTGTGTGGTCGCCCACATTTCTATAGTGTTTTCTCCTTCTGCTTGTGTTTTACCTCCTTGCAGTTGAAACTATTGTAATGGGCTGCTACTTGTGCATATTGACTTTATTAAAGTGTGTTGTACTCACCCTGTAGAGTCTCTGATGTTGTCTTCCTGCTTTACTAACTCAGTTTGTTTTGTCAATCACTTCCATGTTAGGTACACAGAAGATTGTTTCTAACTTCTTCTCTATACTTATGTTATATCAAAACCAAGACAGTGACAAGAGTCTTGAGTTTTGGATGCTATTCCTCTTCAAAGGGGCTGCCATTTTGCTTTTTTATGTATTTGCTGCTTGGGGTTTTCTTTACCTTTTTGTCAGATGGCTGAGTGGCCTCCCTGCAGTATCTGTCTTTGTTTGCTTGATATTGCTTTCTTGTGGTGTTTAAGGTTGTTTGTTTTTTTCTGTGCCCTACCAGTGTAAAGAAAAGCTCCACTGTTGAAAAGTCACACAATGCATGGGAATCTTCTGATGACAGTCGAAACAGGCTAATGAGGGCAGCTTCAACATCAAAACTGATCTCAAAAGCTACCAAAGCTTCAGATAAGTAAGTATAGCATGTTGAAGTTTAAGTATGATAGTCTGCCTTGCATTTCCCAGAAGGACTGGTCAGTTTGAGATTGTTTGTAGGCTGGTATGTACTCGGTCCCAACTGACCCAGTTTTAATGAAAAAAAACATAGAACTGTTTTTAGCCTCAATCCTCAGTCTGAATTAATATAAGTATGTTAAGGTTCTTCCACTATCCTTCATCCCATAGTCGGCCAAGTCCACAAATAGGGACTGGTGGGTGTTCCAACTCCAGCTATGGTGTTGGCAGTCGCTGATAACAGCCACCTTTTGGTTTGTATAAACAGACTAGGTGTGTGATGCTGGTGTGCCTTTTTTATTTTTGTTTTAGGCAACTCTTTGCTAAGCTAATCATTACAGCCAGTTTGGCTAGAAAGTGGGGACATGTGCAGATGTTTATGAGCTGCACTGACATCTGTTGCTTAATCATATAAAACTGATTGAGTTTAGAGGTGCCCATGGACCCTAGAAGCTGCTGGCTAAGCTTTGTGTTTAGCTTGTGTGGAAAAAATGGATAGATGCATGCAGACATCCGGCATTGGCTTGTGTGGAAAAATTACCTGTGGTTTTCTTCTTTTTTTTTTTTGCTGACCACTGCTTTCCCTATTTTCGAGACTCCTAGAAGATTGTCATTCAGTCTGGCCAAAAAAAGCTGGTTGATTAACTGTCATCTTATGTTTAGAGGTGCCTAAATCCCACAAGAGATCACGCCAGATTACAATCACTATTAAACTACACAGATTATTTGTCAGCTGACCAATCCTGGTCATCTATACATTGCTGTTGTTGTCTAGAACATTGTTGTAATTAAAGGGGAACTTTACCCATATCTTCAAAATAACAACAAAGGCACCTTTTAGAAATGTTTAGTAATGACAATCTGCAAACACATACTTTTAGATAATTGCAGGCTTTGTATTCTTTGTATACCTTATTTTCCCCAGTCTTCTGACAGTGGCCATTTTAACTAAGGGCAGGTTACTAGATCTCTTTACTTCCTGGGACATGTGACTAGGACATGCACATTATCTCAGAGGAGGAAAATGCCTTTCCCTGAGATCTCATGAGATTTCCCAGCAATGCTCTGCTGATGTAACCTTCCTAGGATGCGCTCGGGCACATTACATAATTTGTGCCAAAGAAGACGAGGAAGTAGAAAAAAAGAATGTGTAGGTAAAATAAAAATGTTTGTTTAGCTAGGGAATGTAAGATGACTTCATACCAGCATGCAGAGCTGTATGCTGATGTGATTTTTAGTCAAACGGGGTAAAGGTATTATAATTGAACCATTTTTTGTGTTCTATTTAGGAAAACCATTTTATCCAAAATACATTTCTGCTGCAGTGAACTCTAAGAGAACCCATTTGTGAAATCCTAAAATATACAGAATGTTTTTTGATCCCACATTAGCTTACATAGTAATGGCTGTGGTCTGTGTTGCTGACATATCATAGATTGTAGCCTTTCCTTTCTGGGGCCCTAGTGATTGTCAGATGTGGAGAGCCGTGTAAACCGTAAAGAATGAAATGCACATTTCTGGCCATAATGTCAACTCTTAACAGTGTAAAATGTTTTCAGATTTTGCCCACACCAGCACTGTGATCACTAAGCCACTCAGTCACAAGCTGTAGCCAGCACATGCCATTCAAGTAGCGGCCAACAAATCTGAATTTGCTAATGTAAAGTAATGATGAATTATTTTTGTTTTCAGGCATAAAGATATTGTCATCAGCCCAGGTAAAAACTCAAGATCGTGCAGCCTTTCTTATCTCATTGTGCTTACTTTTTCTTGTGCTTCCTATTATCGCTCTTCTTTTCATATGATTCAAACAAAAACTTTTAATTTTAGATTTTCTTTTTTGTTTTAAGAACTTTTGTTAATACACAATTTTTCCTCCATAGTGTGTGCCTTGATTAAGTGTTCATTTCACAATAAATCAGAATTTAGCAGCACGATTACATGCTAAGCAGACAGAGAACTTTGTTATTCTGGCTTTATAAGTTGTTTTACTTCTGTCTCAAAACCAGCAAAAATGTCCACGCGAGAAAAAAACAGCCAAGGTAAGATTGCTGCTCGCATCGTACAGCTTGGCCTTGTTTCTTGATGCCTTTCCTTATGCACTCCTAATCTCACTTTTTGCTGATTCTTCATCTTAACAAAAAAAAAATATATATATATATATCACTGGCATGCAGACTATTGCCTCTTGGTTTAATTGTAGGGAAAGCCCATGATTTTTATGATATTGTAAACTCTTAAATATAGCATGGGCCTTGAATTTCAAAGATAAGTGTAGTTTTATGCTAACCATCCCTCTCACCGCAATAAGCTTTGGACAGGTTTTAAAATGGTATTGTAAATATCAGGTTACCATATAGCTAATCATACCAGCGCGGACTGATTAATAATTGGCTACAAGCCAGCCTGATAGAGACCCCTGACCCCCTTACTCCCTTTCAGTCTATGCTGCTCTCCCCTGATGAACACACAGATGGCAGGCTGTAAACCTGCTGGCCATGGCTTTGCAAGTCAAAGCAGAAATTCATATGCAATCAATGCCTCCCCTATGTCTGTTCAAAGGGTTCGGGAGAAGCTTACTCTAAGGCTGGGTTCACACCTAGGCGTATGGAATATGCGCGTTTTTACAGCGATTTGCGGTAAAAGAGCCAAGAGCTCTTTTACCGCTCTTCCAAGAGCTATCCGGCTGTATCCTAATGGATACGCCAGGCCTTAAACTACCCTTATCTTTTAAGGGGTCAGTACACACAAAACGAAGATTCACTTCTGATAAGATGTCAAGGAGCTGAATTACCCAAAATGTTCTTGTATCTCTTTGGAGAACTTACAGGGTTATTCACAAAAGGGTGAAAAGTTTGGAGAAGGCAGGAGAAGTGAACAATCTAGGACAACATAGCTGATTTGGAAAAATCCTCCAATTCAGCTCACTCTCCAGTTCAGCTATGTTGTCCTAGATTGTTCACTTCTCCTGCCTTCTCCAAACTTTTCACCCTTTTGTGAATAACCCTGTAAGTGATATATCTGCTCATTTCTAGCCATTATAAAGGATTCTAATACTCCCTGCTGATTTTTTTGTTTTTGCTACTTTATTCAGTGGGAAATGACGGGTTGTAAGCGCAACCCCACACCTGCTGATACCTTCCTTCTTTCCATGACACTCCATCCCACTCCAACAAAGCAGGGAGTCTACGGCCAGGTTCACACCATTTTCCGGACCAGATCTGGAACGTGGTGCATTGTGTTTTACAGCACTTTTGCTGCATTTTTTTAATATCTTAAAATGGGCTTACATGTGCACACCAGTGTGTTCCAGTGCATTTGCATGTGTTTTTGATGCATTTCCATGCGCTCCAGTGCATTCCAGACCAGAGACGAGCAGTATTTGTTTTTTGTCTGGACCGGGATGGACTGCGCTGGTGTGAACAGAGCTCAGAAATACCATATGAATGTTCCCGGACAAAAAAAGCATCCCAGTATAAACTGTTCTGGTCTGGACATGATCCGGACATGGTGTGAACAAGCCCTTAAACCTATGTAAGCTCCGTGCTACTGCAAATGAACCAATATTAGGAAAAGTTCTGCCATAAAATATTTTTTAAATGAATTGTCCGCTTTCTCAAATTTTTTATCTTTTTTAGAAACCGGCTTTTTTACACAGCTCCATAAATATTTGTCCTTAACAACTGCGGGCTGTTCATTTGTAAATGGCTCCCACAAGTTTTTTTTCTTTTTAATCTGGACAACCTCTGAGGAGGCGTAAAGCAAAAAAACCCACAAGTTTACTGATATATGGGGTCTAAGGGACTTTGTCAACGTTTCCGACAAACTGAGGAAACCCCTTTTTAACCAAGTTTTATTTTTTGCAAAATAATCTGCATGCCTTTTTAAATCAAATACATTTGTCCTGAAGTGATTTGTGCTGAAGTGCATGTCATTCCTATGCAAGTTTCTACCTAAACGTTGCCTCATGCTGCAGCGTCTGAATTGAATCTTCCAGCTTATTTTCCTGCTGCTGCTTTGGCATTATGCTGGCTTCTATTGACAGAAAATAAACAAACTTTATTCTATTCTTATTAAAACACGTCTCAAACTTTTCAATCAGCTTTTTTTTACCCTGCTCTATAAGCTCTGCTTTAGCATGAAATCCTCTATAATCGGTGCATGCTGTTTCTATGCATGTTTAATGGTCTTCACTGGACTTCATCCAACCTTGGTCCGTGTGGCTGCACATTGATCAGACATTTATAGGCTGGCCATAACCAGCTTCATACCACTTCAGATATGATGCTTGGGTAAGAATTAGGATGTTTAAGGATTCACTATATTTAACAGATTCAAGCACTTCCATCTTCTGAAACAGTTGTTTTCACTGCCACAGATTTTCCAGCTTGTTGGTGGCAGCGTTGGAAGCATCATTTGCTGCCAAGGAATATGCTGGTAGGAGGAGAGAGCAGAATGACAGTTGAGCTCATCACTGAGCTGCTTCTTCACTGTCCATTCATAGGCTGGAGGAGGGTCCATGACAGCTTGGGCTCAAAGGAAGTGTGAATGATTATATGATGCTGGCTGTCCCCCTGAGGACATCCAGTGGTGGAAAACTACTACGAGGGACCGCTCTAGATTGGAGGGGTGTATTGCAGCAAGACCTGATTTTTTTTTTTTTTTTTATTCATCTTTTTTATGGACTATTTAGTCCTCATAAGAATACTTTCTTAAAATGTTTATTGTATCTTTTTATAAATCCTTTTTTCCTTAAACACCATCTGTAATGTGTAGGGAGACGTTAGAACCTCTATCAGGTTTTTATTGCTGGTTGTGTCTCTTTCCTTTGCTCAGCCATGGTAAAAACCAACAAAGAGTCTATCGTTTTCTCAGTCATGCTTTGTTCAGTATCCCTGTTGGAGACATTATCCCTCATCTCTTATCCCAGTGATAGGAGCAAACGGAAAGTTTTCCACAGGCTGTCAGCAGTGAAAACCTGACAGAGATTCTAAGTCCTTACCACTTCATCATTAACTGAAAATACATTTCTCACACAGTAAGCAGCAAGGAGTTCTGGAACCTGGGAACATTTTTTTCAAAACAAACAGTGGCTATATAGTTAGATCTGCCTTGCAGCACAGCGACACGGTCTGCATGAAGTTGTATTTTTTCTTGTTTTTGTGACTTTCCTTTAAATCCGGGGTAGGTGTTTAAAATCATAACTGTCCCTTCTCTGGAACCAAATCCTTGTTGCCTTTTTTTTTTTCCTTAGTTGGCCCCTCCTTTTGGTCAGACATAAAGTATAGGTAGAACGTTCTAAACAAATGCACTTTAACTATCAAAGGTTTTACACAATACTAAACCTGCAATTGTTATTTTGAGGAGCCAGTATAAAAATAAGATGGGTGAAGAAGGCAAAAGTGGATTTAAATTATATGTACAGACACTCCTTGGTCTACGATGGGGTTACGTTCCAATAAACCCATCGTAAAGCGATCACATCGCAAACCAAGGAGTTGTATATACATGAGATATTCAACACTTTATTATCAAATACCATAAGCTTTTGTCCATGTGTAGGTTAACTTAAGTGTTTTAGCCAAGTTTAAGGTAGGCTAAGCTATGACATAGTACAGTATATACACAACCAAAGGAGCATCAGTATACAGTGTGTGTGTGTGTGTATATATACACATATATACACATACATATATATACATATAGCATATATACACATACACACACATATATATATATATATGTGTGTATGTGTATATATGCTATATGTATATATATGTATGTGTGTATATATACACACACACACACACACACACACACACACACACACACACACACACACACACACACACACACAGCTCTCGTAGACATAGTACAGTATATACACAACCAAAGGAGCATCAGTATACAGTGTGTGTGTGTGTGTATATATACACATATATACACATACATATATATACATATAGCATATATACACATACACACACATATATATATATATATGTGTGTATGTGTATATATGCTATATGTATATATATGTATGTGTGTATATATACACACACACACACACACACACACACACACACACACTGCTATCGTATATGAGCGTAAAGTCGAATAATTGTATCCTGAGGAGCATCTGTATAGCCAAAACTTTTTTTTCTTTAGGGAATAGTTAAATTTATTTTTTTTACTGCTTTGAGAGGAAATCTTCCCAATACATTGGGAGTTCCCATCTTCAACAGTTGTTGCTGGAACATTGCTTCCTCTTGGATAATTAACCCTTGCCTCTTGCTCACCTCTTAGTTTTATAATTTTGGATTTTCTTTCACCTTCTGTCTTTATGAATAGAGGGATGAATCTCCCCAGAGACATCAATAAAATCCCATCAAGGAGTCTACCATTCCTCACTCTATCCAAAATTAGAAAAAAAAGATGCTACACCAAAATATCTATTAATGTAGAACTATGTAAGTGATATGACACCAGTGGGAAATCCAGACCCGAATTATACTTATTAGGGCCTACCCATGCACGAAAAGGCAGTCTTGCATGGTTAAATATTGTCTCTCTTCTCTCAGACACCCCTCCTTCGGCTGTGTCTGAAATGTCAGTTTGTTAAATCACTTGGATCCAAAAGGTTAGATTTGCTGATTTCATCTTCCCACAAACATTACTTTCATATTCCACGGTAAAAAGCACAATTTCCCCTTTTTGTTTAAAGTACATTTAATAAGGTCGTTCCAGAAGGTGATGTTTAAGGCCGTAAACGCCACCTGTAAGTGTTTAAGAACAGTATTTTCTATATTATACCACTTTTCCAGTCAGTACCTTTTTAAATATAAAACCTTAATACATTTTGTTGTATGCCCTCCCCTCCCCCGAAGTATTCTAATGCAGATTTAGATGAATATAAATGCCCATCTCTGACTAGTGCTATTTTAATATCATCGTCTACTATACTGCCAAATTTGATTCTGTGATTAGTACACACTTCTGCAATTTGCACTGCTGTGGAATGCCCATAAGTATGTGTTCTCTGTGCGCTAATGCCACCCACTTTTCATGAACGGCGAAAGTAATCTTTTCAGTTTTCGAGTATATTGCATTAAAGTGACACTAAACTCAGGAGTTAAACCTTAAAAATGCATTCAAGGACCTTTTAACTATTAACAAAAGTGTATCTTATTTGTGTATCACTCGGCTGTAGATCCTCCAATCATCTCTGAATTGGTGCTGACACTGTCCTTCTTTCGGGAGGGTGGCTACTTTTGTTCCCCATGGTCCCTGTGTGTGTTGTAAAGTAGCCACCGCTCCAAGCTCGCTCCTGTGATGGACTACAATCTCACGTTTAGTTAGTTAATTTATATTTAAGCTATGGTCTATCACGGGAGTGAGCTTGGAGTGGTGGCTACTTTACAACACACACAGGGACCACGGGGAACAAAAGTAGTCACCCTCCAGAAGGAAGGACAGTGTTGGCACCAATTCAGAGATGATTTGTTGGATCTCTAGCCGAGTGATACACAAATAAGATATATTTTTATTCATCGTTAAGGTACTTGAATGCATTTTTAAGGTTTAACTCCTGAATTTAGTGTCACTTTAAGTTGCCACCATAAGTTTTCCCAACCATCTGATGAAAGGGCCTGTGTTGATGGGCGTTTGTTCACGTCAAGCTGGTTTTGCAGTCCCTTGCAAGTTTATGGGAATGCAAAAAGCACTTGAAGCAGGTCAGAAAGAGGTCAGCTGCAGGTTAAATACATCCGTCAATGAATTCTAAATGATCTCAGAATAGTCTCAAAAACTGATGTCAATCTGACGCCATCAACACTGGACACTAGATCTTTTGGTGTCACTTATTTAGTCATAAAACATATTTACAATTCCTTACCTCACATAGGTGGACAGTAATAGGAATGTTATTTCTTGCATTTTATAATTTTTATATGTGATAAAATTCTATTCCATTATTTAAATGGAACACAGCCTATGCTAGTTCAGAGATTTTATATTAAAGATTTCTGTGACACCAAAAGGCCTTGTTTTACATTGAGCTGCGGAAAGTGGATAATTTATTTTAGGTGCCCTCATTTTTGTAGTTGCAAACAATTTAATTTTCAAGAACACTTTGTTTTTTGTTTTTTTGCCTTATTAATCACTCTGAGGTCCAGGCCCATGGAGGTCTATATACCAAAATAAATCTTGTTTGTGCGTGCTCTACTTTATCCTTAAATAATAATAAAATTAAAATGTAATCTATTGCTGCTTACCAGACTTTACATGTGGTGGCTGCATTTTTATAGGCACAGAACAATTTCAGCAAGTACAGAAAATTCCTACTGACTTCGCCAGAAATTAAGTGTCGTCACTTCCTGTGAGTTTGAAAGATCAAACAAATATCTTCTCTTTATATTCTAAACTACCGGTCTCATCAATCTATGGTGTAACGGTGGTCAACAAAGGCAGACATGTTTGATATATTACATTTTCGCTTTTGTCTTTAAAGAATATGTGCACATTCTGCACTTAAAATTTTGTTTTTTTGTTCCTGAAACTTGTTTTTACAAAATTTTAATTCCAAGACATACCTATGTTGCTAATAACTAGGCATGTGCCTAAAGACTTGGGGCCTCCCCAAAATTTTAGGATGAGATGGGACATTTTATCTTTTTTTTTTTTTTAAATGCAAACTCTTTATAAGATTGAATGGGGTGCCTGTTGCATGTACAGGCTCTTCGAGGTGAGTATTATAGGATTGTCAGGGGAAGCTTTAATATAGGTTTACCTGCACCTTTTTGGTTCATTACATTTTAAGCACACAGAGAGGAAGTTGCACAACCATCATCACATATGAGGAGTACTCTTTACTCCAGCTGAAGTTGACTATGTAGAATTTAAATAGAGATTGGTTTTACTTGTTGTCTGTAAACCCGAAAAATATATTTTGGCTATAAGTGAACTCCAGTGTTCTGAATCCCATATTTTATTGAGAGCTGGAGGCCTCCAAAAAACATTTTTACTGATCAGCGTGCTCAGCTATTTAAGCCTATTTTATTCTCAGTAACATTGCTAAGCTATTTCATTCTACCCAGAACATTAAATTCATCCAAGGAAGGCTTTTCATAAATTAAAACCGTATTGATGATGATAATACAATAAATACAATAAATGTTCTTCTTTCTGAATATTGGCGTGGCCTTCCAAACATCCGCTCAAGCTCTGGAGGCAGCAGAGCCAACGTTAGCTTCTTGGATGGCATATTGCTTCCAGATCTGTGAACGCTGTCTGACAACATTTTTAAATATTTTGTCTTTGCAGAAGGAGAATACATAAAAATGTTTATGCGAGGCCGACCAATCACAATGTTCATTCCTTCTGACGTGGAGAGCTATGAAGACATAAGAACAGAACTGCCACCAGAGAAGTTAAAACTGGAGTGGGTGTATCCTTAATATTCTCATGTTAGGTCGTTGGAGTTAGGCTGTTGAAAAGAGTATAAAGGAAATTAAAGTGCATCTATCATCAGACTTTTAGTATCAATCCCTGCCAGGATTTTATTGTGGTCTCTGTCCCCACTGGTTACTGTTGTCAAAGAGACAGAAAGTGAGGAAATCCAAAATGTTGCCGTTGTTACCAGTGCAAGAGGTTCTATTTAAATCTTCCATTGGTGACACCTATTGCAGTGACAAATGTATAAGAAGAAAATTCAGCTTGCTTTCCAGAGATTTCTTAATACTTCCTGTTATGTCTCCAGGACATATCAGGCAGGAGGGAAATCTCACCAGTAGAACAGACTGGGAAATAAAGTGACAGGTTTTACCCTACCCTTGTCTTTCCAAAGCTAAAAAAAGAAAGCTTAGACTATAAATAGATTTGATTATGATATATATATATTACGCTGTATTAGTCCATTTGGGGAATGTTCCCTTCACATCCTGTCCCAGAAACACTACAGAGAGTAAGAGGAAATCTCTCCTAGAAAATGTTGTCTTTGTGTTGTCAACAGAACAGGTGTCCTCATTGAAAGGTTTCCTCTTGCTCCCTCCAACTTTTGTACCTGAGATAATGGTCACAAAAGCAAGCGGCAATGGCGAGTCTCCCTAGTGCTGAGACAGACAGACCAATAAAAATTTGACTTGATTTGGGATTATAACACTTCCCCACCCCAAAACCTTTGCGTACACTTTAAGGACTGTTTCCCACCTACCTTGCTTTGTATAGGGCCTATTCACACCAACGCCCCGCTGTGATAAAAATGATGCAGGAGTCATTTTATTGCAGCTTGCTGCAGCACATAGAATTTACATAGAGGGAAAGAAAAAAAACAAAAATATATATATATAATATATATATATATATATTA